GCTGCAAAGATGTACCGGGAGAAGCGCGATTATTAGACGACCGATCGTCATTTCCAAAAGGCAAATATTCCCCTTCAGAGTCAGAATCGGCGAATAACATTTGCAACACATCCTCACGGTACAACTTTTTATTAGCCATTTGGTGATTTTCTCTCACAAATCTCACACCACGCTATGAACTGAACTGCTTCCGCATCAATGACAGATAGCTCACTTGCTCTGCTCTTTCCTCAAACACTTGGAATAGGAACATGACGTCATTTTGGTCTAGAATCGAAGTACTACATGTCTGCCATCTAGTGGTAGGGAATACAAATGAGATATTACACCACATTAGGAACTACAGTCTATTTGATTAAGTATGATGTCTTGTCGCAATTTTGCGACTTTGGTGCTTAGAGGGTTAAACATACTATGATTTGGGACATACTAATTCTATTTTCAAATGCTATTTAGGACGGATAGTATGCAAATTGGGACGCAGCAAGGGACTTGTTTCCTACCTTACTGAATCAGCATTTTAAACACAGTATTGGTTCAGTGAATAATTCAATGACTTAGAACGGTAGAGCGGCTATGCCGCCTCACAGTCACCCAGTCGCCCTGCTGCAGAACCGGAACCGAACAATGTACAGGACTCCCTGAGCTAGTCGCATCCAAAGCCGTATCTAGAGCCCTCACATTCTTACTGTCCTCAATTAAAGTTTGGATGCATGTCTCTAATTCTGAAATATTCGGAGCGAGAGAGAGAGAGAGAAGAAAAAAGAAAACAGCAATAGGCGTGAATGGAAATGCTAATGACAAGCTAGCCGGCTAACGAATGCTAACGCGCTGCAGGTGCGCTGCACTCGCGGTTTTAGAATAAAAGTGAACGATCAAATTAATCAGATTAGATTGAAAGATAATATCAGAAATATGGTGGGAATTAAGTTATATTTTATCACTTTAAACAACAGAGAGTGATAGCATAGATAGAGATTCTACAGAAAAGCGAGGCTACATGGAGCTACAATCACAAACCAGCAGCATGGCAGACAGGAAGCAGGAATAACACTGTCTAACAGCGACACCAGTTATTTATGACAAAGAACTGCACAGATGCAGGTATTATAACAATCTATCGATAAACACACACCTTGTCCTCTGTTTCTTGCTTTGCGTCGCCGTGGTCTGCGGATTGAAGAACGCGCTGAAAGATGGGTAGGAGCCGAAGTCTGCCGTCGTTTTCATATGAAATTAAAAGGCGACTGAGGCGATCACAAATTTGTGTACAGTTTATGGAGCTAATCGCAAACTTTTTAGGGGGGCTGAGTAGAAATTTTGGGGGGGGGTCTAAAGCCCATGCTGGCAAACCGGAAGCGCTAGCATTAGCCGTTATGCTTTTTTGGCTAAAGATTTCAGGCTTGCCTTCTAGTGGCTTTGGTATTACGGTATATATCGTTACCGCGAAATAAACTTTCTATTGTTAGAGATTTTGCTATATCGAGTATTCTGCGATTTGCAAATATATCTGCGTAACACAGTACTGCTTAAACATTATACACCTTTTGAGTGATAAGGAAACATGCATGAATGAGAAAATAAAGAGTGTGTCACGCTTGGTGGAGTTATTAAGTGCAATAAGCAGTGAAAAAGAACTCAATGCTGTGCTCGCGCTGACTGACACACTGCCGAAGCGCGCACACTGAAAGCCCCTCTCAGACAGCATGAGATCGCGAAAACAGATCTCTTTCGTGTTTTATTGTACTTGAATGGTCAAATACGCACACAGTTATGTCATAATACCCGTCGTGTGGAGTATTCAAGTAAACACAGTCGGTTATATTTGATTGCACAGATACTATTTAAATGGAACTGAGCTGGATGATGACATCACTGAATTCAATGATGAACTGCCTTTAACTGAAAATTTAGTGTTTACTATTGTCACTTTGCATTATTGACACTATTTTCCTATTTAATACTTTAAAGTTGCTTTGACACAATGGGTATTGTTAAAAGCGCTACATAAATAAAGGTGACTTGACTTGACTTTATGTTAAATAAATGTAAACCACATGTGTTTCTGTATATTGGATCAGTGCAGTCAGTCTTAAAGGGACAGCAGCCTTATTTACCTGCTGCTGTCTGTCATTATTAATATTAATCATGTTTGATTGATACAGTGAAGACAGTGCAGTGTTTTATTTATACACTTTATTCAATTTCTGTAATATTTCTTACTACATGTTAAATAAACCTAGCCTACTGTAGCTGAATAAATTAAAAGTTTATTTCATATTTATTTGTTCTGTTGTGCTTGTAATTTGTAATTAATTTTCTTAATTTTAATAACAAAAATAAAATAAAAGGTACATAAAATCGAGGTACATGTTGTTATCGTGAAAAATAAAAATGTTCGTACCGTGAAATAAGATTTTGGTCATATCGCCCACCTCTAGTCCAAAAGAAGTCCAAAAAAGCGCATCCATCCATAATAGAAAGTGTCCCACACAACTCCAGGGATGAATAAAGGCCTCCTGTAGCAAATCAATAAGTTTTTGTAAGAAACATAATCCTATTTAAAACTTTATCAACCAAATCTTCAGCTTCCGCTAACGGTCGTACGCGCGTTCATTCCGTCGGATGATGTAGGACGTAGCGTAAGCTCCCGGTGAGAAGTGACGAATGCAGAAGCGCAGCGGAGAGAGCAAAACAAAACACTGGTCACGAATTAGAAGTGCAAAATGAGGATTTGTAAAGAAAAATGTCGGAGGATTTCAATATAAGCCAAGAGGAGAATGGTTTTCCTTTGCTAAAATAAGGAAACTTTGCTTCCTTTGCTCCTGTAAACAAAGAAGGTTCTTGCGAGACTACCATATTCTAAATGTTTCTCAACGGCTCTGAGCCACACAATTACATCATAAAGTGGCACATTCCAAAACGATTCATTTTCTGAGCTTGGTTTCAATAAAAGCTGTTTTAAACTAACAAGAAAGATTTGAGTTTTGAAACTAACAGGATATTTTATAGTACATTGACCAGTTATGTCAAAAGATCAAAGGAAATTGAATTTCTCAGTTCATGAGAAAATGTAGCTTTTTTATATATTCATGTATAAAAAGTGATTAGAAATTGAGGCAAATTATTTTTAAAATACCATAAATTCCCCCAAAACGGCACAAATGTATAGTAAGAATATTAATAAAGTGAGTGATTTTACATGTTTAAAAATGAATGATTATATTACAAAATCACATTTGAATGTCTGGGGTCTCTTGAGACCCCGGACATCCTCAGTGTACATCATAAATCATAAATGAACAAAGCACAAGGGTTAACAGGCACAATGTCTGTTGGTGTTATAGATTTTATTCCTGATTTGAAATTCATGACTAAAATGTAATTATGACAAAGAGTTATGTAGATTTCAACCTTTCCACACTGAAGTAGATCAGATCTGTACTGGATCATTACAAACATGGCCAACAAGTAAACTGACTTGCTTTAAGCACATTGATATGTGTAGAAACTTTATTAGACATAGAAACTTGACCCCCAAACCTTCCATATGTACATAAAAGTTGCCCTATACAACAATAGTGTATTAAGGAATTTTTGCTACCATTAAAGCAACTCAAGCTTCAAGTACCGGCGTCATGAGTCCAAAGTCAATGCTTGATTGCAAAATAGATTAACATGGACTACAGACCACTGATAGGTCCATGTTGAATAAAATAGAAATAAAATAAAGTTAATATTGACTTCTAATCTTTTAGTCACATACACATCTGCATGATCTAAGAGACTATTAAAAAAAAAGGTGTAAATATTAGAGTTATAAACTGTAGGCCTATACACTACCGCTCAAAAGTTTGGAATAATTCCGATGTTTTGAATGTTTTTGAAAGAAGTCTTATATGCTCACAAAGACTGCATTTATTTGATCAAAAATACAGTAAAAACAGTAATATTATGAAATGTTAAATAACTGTTTTCTACTTGAATGTATTTCATAATGTAATTTATTCCTGTGATCAAAGCTGAATTTTCAGCATCATTACTCCAGTCTTCAGTGTCACGTGATCTTCAGAAATCATCCCAATATGCTGATCTGCTGCTCAAGAAACATTTCTTATTATCAATGCTGAAAATGTTTAATAGTTTTGTCGCAACTGTGATATACTACTATTCAAAAGTAGGGTACATAAGAAATAAATTATTACTTTAATTAAGCAAGGATGCATTAAATTGATCAAAAGTGACACTAAAGCATTTATAAAGTTATAAATGCAGTTTTTTTTATTTCTATCCATCAAAGAATCCTGAAAAAATGTATCACAGTTTCAAACTATTAAGTAGCCAAAACTCTTTTCAACATTCATAATAAGAACCATTATTAATAACTACGATTGTTAAGTTATCTGTAACATGGAGGATGAACTCAGAGATGAGGGAGGCAAGACAAACAAAACATCAATGTCATGGTGAATTCTGCTAATAGTTAGAGTGTCATGACATTCTTCATATCTCTCTTTTATATTTGTTTTTGATGTCATTAACATTGGCAAGCATCTCACTAAACTGTTTGCTTATTTCCCCCTGCAGTGTATATTATAAAGGTCTGGACAAGAGAGGAGGACTTTTACTTAGTTGAAGATTTAGGGTTCGTGTCCATGTGCAGCATGAGAGAGCTGGTAATATTAGCAGCTTTGGTCTCGGCTCTACACGCGGCCAGCCTCCCGACAGACACTGATGTGGTATACAAGTGCCAAGAAGATCAGGACAACATTGCTATATTAGCAGCCGAGCGGTTCATTAATGACCATCACCACCATGGATACAAATTCAAATTTGTCTCACTGGACAGTCGCAGAGCAGATGAGAAGGTGAGGTTTTGCATCAAAGGTATTAGTATGTAGCATTTACAGGTACAAAACATACATTTTTGTACGTTTTGATTGATGCTGAAACATACAATTTGGACTTAATGAAACATTTAAAATGTAAACATTTTACCTATTCACAGCTAAAATAGCTAAAATTATTTACAAATCTTTTATATCATAAAGATATTTGTATAAATGCACTTTTATCATTTTATCATTTCCTAAACAACCATTTCCTAAAGAACCATTTTATAGCCAATATAAAAAGATATATGATCCTCTCGCCTACATATACTATGCACTAAAAGTATGTATTCTTTTTGTAAAGAAAAAGTACATACTTTTGTGTATGTAGCAGATAAGCAGACAAGCTTTGGGACATACTAGTTCGTCATAACTGCGTCTTTAACGGACTGCCCTGTTGCTTAGTCTGTCACCATTTAAACCAGAGGTCTAGTTTGTTCAGGTGTGTTTAATTAGGGTTGGAGCTAAACTCTACAGGACACCGGCCATCCAGGACAGAGTTAGGAGACCCCTGGTTTTGAACTGTCCTGTCAAACTTGTCTTTATAAAAGTTCACAATGTTGTTGCAGATGAAATATAACGCGGATAACATTAAATATTTTTTCATCAGGTTAGATATGGATTATTTATCACTCAAACCCCTTTCTCTACCTGTCCATCGGTCTTGCATATCCACCATGTTTGTAGTTTTTTTTTTTTTTTACACTTTTTATTCGTGTTCTAATCGAATCCTCGTCCAACATGCAATGGGTTCTGGGCAATATTTGCCATTAGAGTGTGCACAGATCTGCACTTTGAATTTCTGCCGGAAGTAGTAAACCTTCCGGGTACCTTTGGAATACTCATTTCAACATACTATGATTTGGGACACACTGATACTAATTTCTAATACTATATAGGATGGATAGTTTGCGAATTGGAGACAGCAAAACACGTCACCCAAATCACGGCATGTCGCAATCTGTGACGAAGCAGGCAAGAACCAATGAGCATTTGATTTCACTATTGTAAAGCTTCTGAAAGCAGTAACTTTTGAATTTGTAACAAGTGTGTCAGAGTGGGTTTTTTAGCTTAAGGCCAAAGTATAAAAAGCCAACTTTTTGAGCAATGTTGCGGGTCAGCTGGCAACCAGGTGAGACACAGGGCCCACAACCGATCTAAATTATCCAGATAGAAATTTGTTGGCCATTCTCAGTGGGAAAGTACCCAAGCAACATCACTTGGCAACATTGCTCAAAAAGTTGCCCCACCTTGCAACAACAACACATGGCTGCATTGACAAGCGCTTGTGTGAGAGGGTTATGAGATAGCAGCAGTATAGCATAGTTTAAAATAGATAGACAGAAAATTAGATGAACGTGTAAAACCGAAGTATACTTTGGCCTCTACAGTCGCTGCTGAGGAGGAATGTCACAGATGCTACACCATCGTCCACACCAGACCCGTCAGCTCCACCTACTCATTCAGCATCACCCGAATTCTAATTAATCGCACCTGCATCAGCTCATCAACTCCACGCATAATAACAGTCACACCTCCCTTCTCTGTTGTCCAGTCTCGTTGATCCATACCGCTCAATCTCATTGACTCCTTACCTGTGGTTCGTCCTAAGTTCTCCTCAACGTCATCGATCCTGATCATTCCCTCATTGTCTGTCCTGAACATCCGTTTGCCAGTTCGTCAGCATCTGACAAAGACTATTATTCAAGAAGTTCTACAATATAATCAGCTTCCTAACTTCTCACCTGAATGCTCTCCTGAACTCTGCAATCTGCATTAACAAACCTTTATGAATCATAGTACCTGTGTTGTCTCCTTCTGTCCGCTGACAGAAGACCAGACCAAAAAGGATACATGCAGTGTGATACAGCCTACCGCAGGGGTCTGAACGCAGAAATTTGTCATCATATGTCCATCTACGACAATGTGACTGGTCTGGAGACCTTCAATCTCAAATCGATTTGTATCTCTCAACATCTTTCTGCATGCACATTGGACCAACCCGCTGCTCAATCTCCTGCCACTCCATCTGTCACACTTCCAACACCAGAACCTATGCAAGTTGATTATTTCCATCTTTCCCATGCGGAGTGTCAATGTCGCATCCAAAATCATCTGTGCCTATATTGTGGGTCTGACGGACATTTGATAGCCAACTGTCCCATCTGTCCACTATGCCCAGTGGTGAGCACTATTCAACTACCTCCCCTGGTTGCATCTTTGACTCATACTACTATATCACTACCTCCAAATGCTCAGTTTCTGCGCAAGCCGTCATAGATACTGGATCAGCTGGGAATTTCATCTCCCGAGAACAACTCCACAAACTATCACTCTGAAAAAAAACCCATAAAATGTGTTCAGTAAGCAGTTGGCAACGGAATTACCACCATCAGAAACATTATGAACAGCAGCTACGCTAATTATTTTCCATTTGCCTTTCTGTTCCTACCCCCCAGGTGAAAAAGAAATATATTTAAATTGGGCTTTTTCAGACATACTTACTATATTTAAATTATACTATACTAAGTGCATATTAAATGTTATTTTTAAACAACTTTAAGTATATTACGTGTATTTCAAGATACGTTTAAGTTGGATTTTAATCTATTTGTAATATATTTTGTAGCGAATCAGCTCATTCATGGGGAAATATGAATAATTAATCATAACTAGTTATAATTAATTATAAATATTTAGATCCGCGGATGCCCATTTAAAGGTAACTAGAGATTACGCCAGCTGGATCCAGCCTCATAGAAAGACTTCAGATGATCCAACACCTTTGAAGAGATGATGCTGGCCTCTGCAAGGACCCCAGACGACTGAGTGAACTTGAATCAATATGCACAACTGCTAAATTCTTTATTTTGATCACACTTGTAATAATCGCTTTAATGAGCTTCTGCCTGAAATTAATTAATGTTAGCTAACGGTATGATCCTATTATCTTGAACTGTTCATTTGTGAAATGAACATTACTTGGAGACATTAACTTCTTATAAAAGATCATTCTAAATTGTAATGTAGACAAATTAATTTTCTGTAAAGCTGCTTTGAAACAATGTGTATTGTGAAAAGCAATATACAAATAAATTTGAATTTAATTGAAATTGAATCGGCCATGGGACTGTGCGATTGACCTGCTGCCTCTGGCGGCACTACCTAAATTAAAACTTTGTCCCTTGTCCATTCTGGAACAGAAGGCCATGCATAAAAGTGGCACTCAAACCAGAAATATATTCGTCCATCAATTCCCCTGCCGTTTTGAGCTTCTTTTTCGTGAGCAAGAAGGATGGAGGCTTGAGGCCGTGTATTGATTACTGTGGTTTGAACGCCCAAACCGTCAAATTCTGTTATCCACTTCTTCTGGTACCATCTTCCCTAGAATTGTTGCGGGGAGCTCACATCTTCACCAAGCTGGACCTGCGTTGCGCATACAACCTCATTCTAATATGTGAGGGTGATGAGTGGAAGACTGCCTACATAACACTGGCAGGACATTATGAGTACCTCGTTATGCCATATGGTTGTCCAACTCACCCTCCGTATTCCAAGCCCTCATGAACGAGGTGTTCTGGGAGTTTCTCCATCACTTCATTCTCATCTACATCGACGACATACTCATCTAGTCACGGAACCTGGCCGGACATCGTCTCCACGTATTGCAGGTCCTCCAGAAACTGAGAGAATACCACCTCTATCTCAAGCTGGAAAAATTTGAGTTTTGCTCTGCTCCAACCCAGGTCCATCCTGATCGAGAAATACCCTTCATCGTGGAAGAGGATGCCTCTACGTCCAGGGTTGGATCTGTACTATCCCAGCAGCAGGGTGATCCACCAATCCTCAATCCATGTGACACCTTCTCCAGGAAACTGTTGAAATTACGACATCGGACATCGTGAGCTGTTGGCAATCAAACAATCAAAATTTCTATTCTATAATTTATTTCTAGAGCACATTTAAAAACAACAGTAGTTGACCAAAGTGCTGTACATAAAGGGCCATAAAACAAACAACAATAATAAGGTTGCTTATTGTGAGAGCCAAACATCAGTTCGGGGTAATCACAGATCATCGCAACTTAGAATATCTCTGTGATGCCAAAAGGTTGAATCCCCACCAAGCACCCCACCAAGCATTGTTCTTTACTTGATTCGATCTGTCTGCACCAGAACCCATACTCCCTCCAGCTATCGTTGTGAGTCCCATCCAATTGTCCCTGGATGACCAGACTGCCGAAGTCACTCGCTCTGAACCTTCTCCGCCGGGAGGTCCTGAGGGACGGGTTTATGTACCATCTTCACTCTTAAGAAAAATGGTTCTAAACAGTACCAGAAAATAATTCTTCAGCTTGTAACAATAGCAGAACCCTTTTTGGTGCTAAATAGAAACCTTTTTATAAGGTTCCATAAAGAAACATGGTTTGACAGTGCTATTTAGAACCTTAATGGTCTTATAAATAACCATTTCAATGATAGTTTATTTTCATTAATATTAGTATAATAGTATATTTATATCATTAATATTAGTTTTATTAATATTATTTGAATATATTGTTTATTACTATTGTTTTGTTACCCCTCTATCTGCCTGGTCTTATAATATCTTATAGCATCTATTAAGGTTTTCATAAAAACAACAACAACAGCATGCTGTGTCAATTAGACACTTTTATTTCATTTAATGACATGTGAAATTGTAGCAAAAATGACAGTGATCTAACAACCGTTATTAGCAGAATACAATAAATGACAATTGACACTGAACATAAATATTTAAAGAAGTCAAATAAAAATAGAAACAGAAAATAGTGTAATGAAGACCAAGTTCCAGTGAAATACTGTATTTTCACAATCCCCTATGATGCCTGTAAGTCCATCATTATGTGTATTTTGGTGTGATTGAGTGGCAGTTTCTCAGATGACGAGGTTGTAGGATGTGACAGCATCTGAAATGCACAGTTGAGTTTAGAG